AAACACTGGGATTCTCAGCCCTGTGTGCCACGATAACCCGACTTGTGATTGCCGTGGTCAGTGGATACGGCAGTTGCCAGTAGATGACAGCAGTGATTAGGGCTAGGCCTCAGCAGACCATGGAAGATTCATCATCCCAAGCTTGTCAACAGCAACCCAGGATAATGCAATGGTGGCTTGTGTCTGGGCTTCCAGCTAGGCCTCAGCAAGTGCTTCTCTCAGCAAGTAAAGCACAGGACAGTGCGTCGGTCAATAGAAGTGATGTTGGGGAGATCAAAATCAAAAGTGCACATCCCAGCTCCACTCAGCCCTGCTATGTAGGCCCAGTAGAGTGGCTCACGGACAGCTGTCTACCCACCCTGCTGGAACTAATGCCTAGACTTCACTCATAGAAGACGATCAATAAGGCCCCTCCTCTAAGTCCCTTCATACAGGCACGACTTAAGCAGGCAGACTTGCTACTGTCTGAAGTGCAGGGCTAGGCAGAGGGAGGGACAAAGGACATATTTCCATGTTTACTTCATTGTGTTTTTCATACTAAGTTTGTGAAAGTATAATTGTATTGTTTATAGTAGAAAAAGAAACTAATCCAGGAGAACATTTTTGTTAAAGAAATATTTCTTTTGTTATGCCACTTCTTTTTGTGGAAATCTTTATATATGAGATATTATTTTGGGTGGATAATAAAGCTTTGATGGCGTTAAAGCTGTTTGTTTTCCTAATTATTGATGTCTATTTTGTCAATAACCAAAACCACTACAAGTTTAATCTTGGCCGTCGGTGTCGTGCAAGAGAAGAACGTTCTGGAAACACGTCTCACGTTTGCATTACTCACACCCCCACTAAAAAATTTAATAAAATGTCACCTCATTATCAACGTTGTTAATATCAAATAGGAAACAATCTTTTACAGACAAGCTGTTGGATACCTGAAGTACTTGTTAAAACCGAACTCATAACCAAGCAGATAGCTGTAACAGTTTAAAAAAATTAAAAAAATATAAAGAGAATGAAAAGATAAATTATCACCAGCACAATGTGTATGTGAGTGTTTTCCAGCTGTTTTGCCTGTAGGAAGTTATAAAACTAAGTCTTTTAAAAATCTAACTGAAACCTCTTAAACTGAGCACATCTTATCTCCTGAAATCCCTCTGTCTTATCTCGAATCTCCGTCTCACATTTTGTTATAGTGCTTGTTTCTGTTATTTTTCCCCAGTTTTCTGAATTGTCATTTTTCCCGGTCCTTCACCCTCCGTACCTGTATTAGAAGGAGTGTGCCCTCTCCCTGCCCCCAAACGGTCTGAAGAGGTCCATCGAATGCAGGTCACCGTGGATCAGATCCTTAATTATTTCTCCTTGCTCTAAGCTGTCAGCACGATGAAACCGAAGAATGGTGTGTGCTTCGAACATCTTATCAAACTACCTACCCTTGTGCTGTATTTTCCTCCCTTACTTGTACAATTCGCTTGCTTGAAGGCCCAGCAATTAATGCGTATGTAATGGCCTAATGACATGAAACTGCTGGTTTGCGTCTTGAGTTGTGTGATGCAAGGCATACTTTTTCTCCCAAAAAAATTAGCCTTTTCCTTTGCATCATATTGAGTGCAAACACTAAACGTTTACACTAAAATTTTTGCAAACAGTATGTAGAATAAATTATATTTAATCTCTGTGAGATAATTTCCCATAGATGGTAATTAAAATTCCATTGAAAAAGTCATCAATCTCAGGTGAAGAAACTGTGAACAATTTACACACACAAGTAATATTTTGGACATTTAGCTGCCATTTTTATCCACAAAAATAACGGTGATAAAGCTGATGTTGGGAAGGATTCTTACTACAGTCACATTGAGTGACGCCTATTGTAAGGCTATTTTCTGGCCATCACTAAAATGGATTTTAAAGTGCTTCTAATTTTGTTTTCAAATTACCTTACAGATTACATTGCCAATATCCTTACAGCTAAAGTCCAGTCCTCATTTGAAATTGTGCACTTCTCATTAAGCTTTTTAGAGAAAATGAATGCCATGCTTTTCTGTATGACATTATCCTTTTTTCTTTTTCTTTTTTTTTTCTTCTTTTTTTTTTACAAAGATTATATGGCTGCTCCGCAAAATCTTATCATGTAGGGCAAAAATAAAGAGGGAGCATTTAATTCCTTACTTATGTTAACTTGTATATTTTTTGGGATGCTAATATTACTAAGAAATAGTACAGATGATTAAGTAGGACTATATGTAGTTTGTTTCAATGTAACATAAAGACATGTATTTTATATATAAACAATTTATTCTTTATGATATGAAATGGGGTCTTTGACTTATCGCCGGACCTCTTTGGACATAATTAAGTCCTCTGATGTAGACCAACACAGTCCTCGAGCACATGAATAAATAATGTAAATGTCGGCTAAAGGGCACTTTGAAGAGTCACCTCATTTCACTCGGAAATCTAAGCAAGCACTGCGACTGGTGGCTTTTTCTAATTAGTTCATGACAGCATTTGAGAGCAGTGAGGGATCCTCAAAATTACACCCAAAGACACAGAAATAAACTGATTTATTTATGATTTACCATTTGTTTTAGTAACCATTGTTTTTAGTTAAAGTTAATAATCTATCTATTGCAGCCATTTATGCTGTGCAACATAGCAAAATAAATTGTACATTTCAAGGCCTGTTCTTGTTGATTTAGTTTTGCTTTTAGATCTCGTGTCTCTTTTGCTTTAAATATTTAGTGCACTGTTAAATCCTTGTCACTCACTGACTTTAAGACACCATTATTAGGTATGTTAAGAACACTCTGACCACATCTGCCCTTTAAAAAAGCTGCAGAGTGTACAAATTAAGTTTTATTATTGACTTGCCATCATGGAGAACAATAAGCGGGACCAACCCTCAGGGGAAAACCTGATAGGGCCGTTTCTACGCTGTTCAGAGTACGCCTGTTTGATGGCCAGCTAAACTGCCCCAGGACTGCCTTGGGGAAAACTGAGATTTTTGAAAGCCCAGTTCTCACCACACCCAGCCTTAAAGCAAGACCAGCGATGTGATGCCCACAGGGAGACCCAGGCATTCTGTCTGAGAAGTCTGCGAAACTACAGAGATCCAACTCAAAGGATGCTGCCGTGTTGCTCCTCTGAACAATGACTCCCTCTTGGATGACCCTGCCACTATGAGAGATTTGTTTGTCAAAGAAAATGGGGCGCATATCTGGAGCACTCAGGAACATTACGCTCACAAATATCCAAGGACAAGACACAGACAGAAAACCATCAACAAGTCCCACCCTTCTTTCCGGACAGACTGCCCTGTCCCAGAAGAATCAGATCTCTGAAGGTCTTCACTGAGGCGTCTCCTTCAGGCAACAAAACTGCTCCAACAACTGGACTGCTGCATTTCTACACCTACTTTCATTTTTCCAATCCTCTTTAAAAAAAAATTATGCTGAGGCTGCTTGTCAGTCATGTAGTTAGAACTGAACCTCCCTCCAGAACATATCTGTGCAGAAAGTTTTCCACAATCCCCCAATCAGTCTGGATTCCTAAAGGAATAATTTTACATTTTGGGGATGATAGTTGTTCACTTTCATGCCAAGAGTTAAGACGATTGATACCACCGTCATATGTATCTGTTAAATCCAAGCCTGCAGCTGGATAGCTTAGCTTAGCACAAAGACTGTAAACACCTAGCTGTGCACTGGTAACAAAATCTGCCTACCAGCACTTCTTAAGATCGCTAATTAACACACTATATTTTATTTGTTTTATGAATACAAAAATCTAAGTGTAAACAGCAACTTGTATTTTCACAGGCAGTTATGTGGGAGACTGTTTCTTGGCCAGGCTCAGTGATGTTTTAAGCAGCGCTGTTGCACACACATGCATCACGCTCTCTGCATTGGGCATCAAGTGTTGGAGGGTGCACCAAAACAGCCAGAGATCATCAGTTGTAATCATGATGATGAACTATGTAAATCTAAGATGAAGCACAATAGGCAGCATTATGACCATTATAGGCAATATGATATACATGATTGCCCAGTTATGTGAAATGAATCACACCTGGGGCACCCAGATGGCTAGCAGCAGCAGTGACTTCCTTGTGTAGGTGCATTTTTATTATCTCTGGACACAGCCAGGCTTGCTGTTATTCCATTTCCAGTTTTATGCCAAGCTACTGAGAGATAGCACTCTCAGTACAGGCTGCAATGTAATCGCTACAGGCAATTGTGCAATTAGTTAACGTCCACTGTAAGTGCTTGTTTTTGCCACTGACAGGCTCAGAATGTATTCAAGTGTCTGATAACGTTATGGAAAAGACCCTACAGAGAAATGAAACTTTTTTCTTTACCTATCACTTGATCCGGTCTGTTTGTTTTAAGGTGGATTCAAGTCTTGCTCATGGAGAAGTCTCGTCTGAACTCTCACTGACACTGTCAAAATCAGCTAAATATATTCAGCCATGACAGTGAAAATCTTTTAGATAACACTAAGCTATGTTTTCAGTACTCCAACTCTTCCAAGCATTCCTCTCTCAAACTCCCACTAACGTTTCCACCGTTGCCTTCCTGCAACAAGTCACCTCTCGTGAGATTTCAAAAGAAGACTTCTTAAGCGAGATTTTGTTCCACACAATAACAGACAGAATCACGTGAAAAAGCACAGAAAAACATTTCATTTCTCAGAAGGTGTTTTTCCATAATGAGGTCAAACACAATAACAATCTGAGTCTGTCAGTGGCAAAAACAAGCACTCTTAGTGGACTTAAAGTGACGGTGCCAAACGCCCCGAAGACTACACTGCAGCATGTGTCATGGCTTCAGGCTGCAGTGCTTTCTCTTTCAAGTCTCCATTAGTCACAGAGTCCAAATTTCCCTTTAATTCTCTAATCCTAAAGTATCAAACTTCAGCTTTAAATAACATCCTTGTTGTCCAAAGCTTCAAAGATTGACGTAGAACAAGCCACAGCTGAAGAGATGTTTTGTCCGTCAGCAGTAGCGGAACCCAGGATCCTCCCATCTTCCTGGCCTGCTACTGACCCTCAGAGCCCACACCCCATCACCACCGCCACAGTCACCCCTCCTCTGCGGCTTCGGCACAGCAGCAGCTCTCAGCCAATAGGCTCCCTTGATGCCTCGCTGATCTACATCCAGGTCAAGGATTCCACAGATGGGGTCAAAGATCCCGTTGCTATGGTGACGAGGCTGGGGCAGGACAGTGGCAGTCTTGTGATGCAGTTGGCTGGGGAGCAAACAACCAGGGGGAAGCCACGGTAAGAGAGAAACAATGATGGAGTGAAAATTGCAAATAATAAAACCGTATCGTTTTTTTAATGAATCGATCAGTTCCGACATGTGTTTTCACTTTCTATTACCTGCAGTAGGGAATAACTTGGACTCAAATATATAAAGTGGCCCTTCTGGGTTTTTTTGTACACCATAGCACACTGTGAACATTTGGTGAGGCGACTGCTCAGTTTATTGCCGAAAACACTTCATAGAGACATCAGGGGTGATCTTGGTGCAAATTGTATTGGGGTGCAAACCTAATGTAATGCTGGGCTGTGTGGCGGGACACTGGTCATCATCCTCCCGTTGACTTTATTCCACTGTCCGCAGGTGTTCTTCGCACCTCCTTGATTGGATGGAGACTCAAGTCATCTTGTGGTAGCTCAGGCCTAAATCAGTCTCCTATCGAAACGTGTCATCTAAAGCTGATAGACACTACAGCCGTCTACCGGCCCACTGGGGCTGCCTTTATTGTATGTATACCCTGCAGCATATGGTACATCTCTCTGATGGGGGAAATTCTATGGCTTTTATTGAGGAGAGAAAATTAGATTAGGCGATCTTCTCGAGAGCCTTCTTCCTTGGTTTACCTCGGCACCGTATGTGGCTGTAAAGCTAGAAGTCAGTCACAGCAGATTTCAAAAGAGATTTTTTTGAATACATCATATGAGCATGTTTTTCCAAATACATGAATATGAGATGGGATTTGTCAATTTATATAATAGTTGATGTATTCCTTATTAAGTTATTCAAGACAAGATGGGACATTTTTTTTCCATTTGCACAAAATCAGCTTGCTTGATTGAAGGAATACTTCACCCAAAAAATGACCATTTGTAAATCTATTAGTCATTACCTTGAATTTGTTTTTTTCTGGCATGCCTCCACAGAAAACAGCGAACATATTGATTTATTAATTACTAGGGGTCCACATTTAACAACAGCAAAACTACATCAACTCATCCATTTACAAATTCTAACACAACTTGTGCAGTATAATCCAAGTCTTATTTAGCCAGTTATATATTCAGTACTTCCCATACATATGCATTTTTGTGAAAACCTTACTGTTTAAAGCTGAACTGAAAGTGAAAATACTGAGCATATGACTGGATTATGCTGCACAAGCTGTTTGAGAGTTTGTAGGCAGGTGCTTTGATATCCTATGCTGATGTTAAACATGGTCTCCAACCAATCAATAAATCAATGCATCTGCCGTTTTGTGTGGAGGCATGTGAGAAAAAGAAATGTCTCTTCACAAATTCAAGGTAAGTTAGCATGAGTAATTGATATACTAATGGTCATTTTGGGGGGGAAGTATTCCTTTTGAGTAAAGTCAGAAACAAATACAACATGCAAATTTATGAAGGAGTCAGTGTGTTGAAGGAGCTGAAGCAACTGTAGGTTTCTGTGTTTATGCTGAACAGGAAGAACTGTGTTTCCCTTGGCCTGCAGGTGGCAGCACATAGATGCATCACCAATTTGAGAAGGCCTCATATTCAAAACAGAGGACTTCCTGCTGAATATCCACTGTGTCATATCAGGAACATCTGTCATGACTGGAAATTACAGAGCTCGGACTAAACCCTCCCATGACACAGACAGATTATACATGCAAACTTGTACAACTTTGTTTGTTTTTACATACTTAATAAGATTATTATGCAGGCCGCTCAGCAGCTGGGTCACACTGGGCCTTGTAAACACTGTGCACCTACAAAATCAATGAGCAGCACAGACAACACGCTGGCTTCTTTGGGAGAACATAACACGAGGTTTGTGCAGTGATATTTTATCCTCCAAATGCCTCTGATTGCTAATTACCTCAGATGTGTAATGGTCCCCTCCTTGCACTTCAAACGACCGTCTCGCCTCGCTCCCTCCTTCCCTGTCTCATGCACGCGCCTCTTTCTCCTCAGCAGCAGCACCACAGCCACCGGGTCGCCATGGAAACCACTGAGAGACACGCGTCGAGGGTGAGAGATGGAGAGAGAACGAGGGACAACGAGGGACAAGAGAAGAGAAAGCGAGAGAAAACGGGGGACATGAAAGGTTAGGGTGTTGCCATATCCCTCCGAACCTCCCTAACCCCCCCCCCCCCACCTCTAACCCCTCCACCCCTCGGTTTAATGTTGAGCCCCCAACCCAGATCAACCGCCCCACACACTGGCCCCTCTTACACACACCTCTGCCCCCCCCTCCCGTACCCTCTCCCCCATCTTTTTGCTCTCCATCCCTCTCTTGTCCAGACAGGCTGCTCGCATGGCGGGGATGGAGACGTTCACCGATGGAAGCACTGGTAAATTTTCACATCCACAAAAGAAAACAAACAAGAAAATGATTTGTAGGGGCGTGCGTGAGGGGTGGCTCAGATATGCAGACTAAACTTCTCCTCCATGTGTCTTTTCATCATTCCTCTCCTCAGCTGTACTATACACTCCCCCCTTTCCCCTTCTCAAACCACAATCTTTCTATTCTGTGTCAGTTCAAAAGGCGGAAGATTTTAGTCCACTTGCAGGGGAGCCCGACACTCCTCACGGCAGCGTCCTGGGGAAAGGCGGTGGAGAGAGGAGAGAGGGGCAAGAGAAATATCGGTCCTAATGATTTTTTTGTGCGGGGATGGTCTTTTTCTTTTTTATTGATTAGATAGAAATTAATTCACAGGGGCAACCCTCGTGTTCTGACTCTCTCCCTCTCTCCCACTCCCTCCCTCTCTACCTCTCTCTCCTGTCCTCCCTTGCTCCTTTGCTCCGTGGACGAATAGCGTTGTGTCTTCTTGCCTGCTCTGCATGTTGTATTATCGCGGGAATATTTGATTCGGAATATGCTCTGTGTTATGCATATGCGGAAGTCACGCTGCAGCTGCACACCTACACACCTGCAATGCTCTCTCCCGTCATCTGCGAATGTCACGCACATTATTTGCCTCATATAAAGGACGTGAGTGAACGTGTGGTTGTTGTCATTGTTACTGGATGTAGTGTTTTCACTATTGCGCGTGACGCGGCTCACATTTGAATTCATGCACATCTGGCAGCCTGGAAGTTTGGCTTGAAGGTGGAAATAGTGTTTAAATAGAGACAGTGACTTACACTGTTTGGACGCTATTGTTCCTTTGGCTCCTCTTCAGTCCTCTTTGTTGTTTGATTCCTAATTGTGAGAGGCCACAGCTGATTTGAGAGCCCTTTACGCACAGGTGGGCGCGCAGGCCGGTGTGTTAATGGACAACCTGTGTCTTAATTTGTGCATAATGTAGCCCTTAACACAGCAGTTTACGGCCAAATTCACCCGCGCCGTGAGGGGTTTAATCAGTGTGGTCGATATTTGCTCGTCGGTATCCCGATGCCCGCAGATAGCACAATAACACCTCAGCACGGTGAGGGCTGATACGCCGCCGAAGGGAAATCGATGGACAGACTGAGTTAATTATGAGAAAATCAATTAAAAGGAGGGGATCTATGGGCTTTATAAGGCCGAGCAGGGAGCTCGCACCGGCAGAGGAGAGGAGAGGAGAGCGGACGGCGGACGCCTCCCTGCCGGTGCTCGCCTCTCATGGCTCGCCTGGCCGCTGAGCTCCCGCTGTCCGCTGGCTCCCTGCACGGTGCCCGATGATCATTTAACAAACAGCTCCTGGGCGTCATCGTCCAAAACCGTGTAACAAAGTCATTGAATTCTGTCATTTAAGCACCACAATGTCGCTTTAACACCTTTGAGATATCATTTTGTCAGTGTGATGGTTTACACTGATAAACACACCTCAGAGCGTTCACTTGTCCTGGGTGAACATTGCTGTGGTTTGGTTTTGATGTGGTTTCCAAACACATTTCTGTCCATTTCTGTTTGACCTTTGCTCTCTTTTAAATGATACACACCACAAGGTTATATGGGCTCCCTGTTACCTCATTTTATCTTAACAAGCAGACCCTCACATATGTTCAAGACAAAAACGTGCTGATAGGATTCAACTTTTTTCTTCTGATGACACTGTCACAAGGCCTGACTGTCCCGGGTTGCATCTTTAATTGTGGGACTTTAAATAAGTAATCTAGACATATATTATATGGCAGGATTGTTGCACAGCTCCACGCCAGCTTCTAAATCCATAGCATAATTTGAAACTGTACACGTGCCATCGTGAGTGTCTATTTTGTGTCCTGGTTATGTAGATTCATTTAGTAGTTTTCATGTATGAAAAACACACAAAGCTGCAAGTGTGGCCCGTTCAGAGTCATCATATCAAGCCGTCAAACATGAGAGGTGTGAACCACAGTGCACATATGACTTCAAGCCCCATGAGACCGAGACACAGCACGTTTTGGTCAACAGACAGCTCTCGTTAAGACTGCAGCTGTAAGGAGAGGAAAGGAGACTTTTGTTTTTTATTTTACAGTCATGTTAGATCATTTAATTTCCCTCCTGTTTGCATTTAATGCACGACTCTTATTTAGCAAAGGACTTCTCATTTAGTCACTACTTTGTTGCATATTCATGGTTGCTGCTGAGAAACACGTGAGGTTGGTGTTTCATTTATGCGAGAGCCCTAAACTCATGAAACGCGTCTTAATATATAATAGTATTAATAGTAATAATGCTTTTTGTTAGTTTTATGTGTCGTAATGTTTAGGAAAGATGAAAATATCTGATTGATGTTCTCTCTTGTCGACTCGTGATCTGCACTGATTTGAATTACTTTAATAAGCCTCGTCAATAATTGGTGTTTTGCGTTGTGGCCTCATCTTTATCATAAATTATATTTGCAACTTTTCACCTTAAAAGCATTCAGTGTAATTTTACTGCCAATATACCAAAATGCGCGTGTGTGTATATGTGTGTGTGTTTTAATAAACTCTTACAAATCGTGTGCGTAATGCAATACTGTAGCAAATACCCTTAATTTGCTGCGTGTAAATAGCATAAAATCTTTGCTTGAATTTAAATTAAATCCCAGAATTTAAAGCCAATTGAATTTGACTCGTGCTGCGGTTGTGCATGGTGAGAACTTTGAACACTGTTGCTTTGCATATAAAGTGTAAATCTCCAGATCGTTCGGTTATATAATCATCCACAGCTGGACTTAAAATTGTTCATCATATTAAGCATTTTTTAAAACACCATGTCCCTTTTTAAATTGACAGTCTACAGGTGTTCGTGTTAACATCTTGTCAGAGAATATGTACATATTCATGCAGATGTTTTCTGCTTATGAATATTTGAGAACCACTATTCCGATTCCTGGTCGTTTTCAATGTTGCTGCATATCCTGCAGACCTTGTTAGGATGAAATGAATATTTTTGGATGTATGCATATATTTGAATAAAACACCATTACTTATTATTTATTTATTCAATATTTAAATCTGCATTTAGGTAAACTGGGAGTGCACTACAGCCTGCAGTTTATGGATGGCTAAATTTTCGATTTTAAAGTCGAGGTTATTTAATTAAAATCCTTTGCAAGAAAGTTGAGGAATACTCCGAAACTCTAATTCCCATATTCAAACTGCAGGCCTCTTATTTCACCCGCACCTTATTGTGTGTTTAGTGGTTTAATAATTTCTTTGTATTAATGTCAGGTTGATATTTACTTGAGGATCATAATTGTTTAAAATGTCGCCTTGGTGCAAATATGAAACAATGGGAGAGCACTGAAACAGTTTGAGTTACAAGTTATCGCATTAAAAGACAACAGAAACTCGTCCGGACGCGTTCACAAGAGAAACATATTAGACATTATACAATCTCTACAAGACAGCCTGGGCTATTTAGGAAAATTTAATCTGTACGGGAAACGTTTCTTTTTCTTTTTTCCGAGGAAAAATGTGAAAGGTGAGAAATTGAAATTGCACATTTAATCGCTTGTAAATTAAACACTTTAAGTAAGGACATGCAGGACCTGCAGTTTTATAAAGTTTCCATAATAATGAGGGAGTCAAATCAAATAAACAGGATATTTAAAGGCTATTTATCAACTGATGACACGTGCACATTTCGAAAAATAAAACTGCAAGCTGATATTCGTGAAATTGTGTTTTAATAATTCTGCATGGATTTTAAAAGCAGCGTGTTCAGGGAAATAAGTGATTATTGATATTATATATCCAAATAGGATTGAGATGCATGTCACAATGAAAAGCCTGTGTATGAGCCGGTGCTGGCTTTTCTTTTTTTTTTTTTTTTCTTTTTTTTTTTTTTGCAGAACTGGCACCCTGACACCCCGTCCTGCACCTTATCAACTTGAAACATACCACACAGCCGATGCACTCAATTTTATGGTTAATGTTAAAGTCTATGCAGCCTGTCCGAAAGCTCATTTCATAAAACGGTTTATTGGCTCTAATTTTTTTTTTTTTTTTTTTGGTGTCATAAAGCGGGATGGTTCCTGTAGGCTTTGATGTAGGTTTTTCTATACATTTTTGTTACTGGCCACTTCCAGTCGGTATCAAGCACCACAGGCCATACAAAATTAATCCATTTTCTGCGCACGACTCCCCTCCCAAATGGTGTGGCTGCTCTCCGCGGCCGGCGCACAATGCGGTAATGACCCCCAGGTCAAAGGTCGCTTGGCCAGTTCCTCAATTAAGGCGGAAAGATTGCAGTTGCACGATTCATCGTTTTTGTGACAAGAAGGGGCCAGCAGTGACCGGTATATACAGAATATATTAATGTAGGGTTTGATAAAACTTTCTTCTAAAATTGATTCAAATGGCCTCCAAAGTGTACTGCATATGATTTTAATAATTTCTGAACTCACTGAACATTATTTAGAAAAATGATGTTGAACAATATATATATATTTTAAATGTAATGTGTATATATTTTAGATGTAGGTTAAGGTTGGTTTGAAGTTAGTAAATATTTGACAGAGAGCAAAGATTTGCCTCAGAGAAAACATCAAGGATAAGCGTAAGTTAGACATATTGTCAGTGTGGTGCTCAATGTCAATGATATATTTTCATCTAGGCTTGTTTGCTGGAAAAGAAAATGAAGAGAAATTGTCAAAAATCCTTCATTTAGGTGTTGTAGCTTTTTGTTTTGTGTTTGCACGTGTGTGTGTGTGTGTGCAGTCTACACTGTCTGTCTGTCTGTCCTGTGGATGAACGTGTTTTTTCCCACAGTCATGTATCAATTGTGGTTATTGAATGTAATCAATGGGCAATTCACGATCATTGCCGCATCGATTAGCTGATAAATGGTGGTCGGATTAATCATCCGAAAAGATCCCGTTGTCGATGGCGCAGTGTTTCTTAACCCCGGCCACTCGACCAGTACAGCAGCCGCACAGAGCGAGGCTTCACCAGCACAGACAGGACTTCAATAAGTGACAAAAGAGAAGTGATAAATTGATCAAAAATGACCACAATGAAATGGGCCTCTTGTGAGGCCACACATGTCCATTATGTGAGTGTGTCTGCGGGTTTGTGGTTGGAATACATCAAGGGCTCAGGGTCAAAGTGCAGCTTCATCCCAGACTGATGACCCTGCAGACAGACTGACCTTATGGGGTCTAACAGCTGGGGGAGAGGGCGGCGTACTGGACCTGCCAGGGAGAGGAGAGAGAATGGGGAGAGGGGGAAAAGATGGAATTAGAGGAGGTGAAATTTAGGACAGAAGGGAGGAAAGTAAGAGCGAAGGGGAATCTAAAGAGGAAATCGGCAGGGGGAGAGACAGAGGTGTTTACCACAGTGGACCTTGAATATATCCTTGTGGTTTTTGTCGATCTAATCTGCTGCGGTCTCCCCTGGTTTTGGTGCTTGGCTCTGGTTTGAAGCAGTGAATTAACACCTGACCCCGGCTTCTGACCCTACCCCCTTCCTCCAGCTACCCCCTCCAGATTAGCAAATATGTGCTATCTAGCCTNACACACACACACACACACACACACACACACACATATATATATATATATATATACACACAGCAACACAGAATCACACATGTACACACATAGCTGCTTAACGTATAGAGAGTAAAAAAAGAACAATGCAGCGCGTGTGCAATGTCCACACAACCTCTGCACATCCCATCGTCTGTCCACCATCTAATTCCCCCGAGTGAAGCTTCAGTGTGTCACTGCTTGTCACCGTAACGGTCAGTCTGTAATGACTACCTCCCCCCATACAATGACCAAGGAGGCAGACTCTCCCCCCACACACTGACCCTCATCCATTTTACCTGCAGGATGTATAGCCCAGTGTCG